GCTCATACGCTTGTTCCCAATCTCCAAAGATAAGTTCAAGTGCACGTTGCTTTGCCCTCCATGCTTTTCCATACTTGACATAGTAATTGTAACGTAGGAAGATGATCTCAACCAACGCGAACACCGTAATGGTTGGCAAATGCATCACCACGACACATAATTGCCTTATGATGAACCTAGAATTCAGCTGCAAATGGTTTTCTTCTGCCTCAGCCGTGGCGCAAACATGTGGTTGCTTCACTGAAGTAATCTTCCATGTGCCTGCCTTGGTTTTCCTAGAGCATACTCTCCACCCACAATTTTGTTCTTCACAAGCAACAGTGTACCTAGAATCCTTGCACGAATTGATGACCCTATATGGACGGTTGTGAACAATGGAGTACTAATGCAACCATGATTTCAAGTGATCTATGGTACCAAACAAAATGCCCTTCCTTATGATGTTGCAACCACTAACATTAGGTATTGCTGTATCATTTGGACCTCCATCAGCTACTGCCCTATGCCCTTGGCTTAGGTCCTCGAAATCAGGAACTAGTGGATCCCTCCTAGACAACACCATCCTCAATATCTCTATTTCTCTATCATTAAGACAACGAACAGGACGATCATCGTTAGAGTCTTCAGCTAATTCCTGTACAAAGGTTTCATCATCTCTAGCTACCTCCATATCAAACCGGTTCCTAGCCCTGGCATTGCCAAACTCATCTTCACAACTAAGATCAGCTTCGTCACTAAGATCATCATCAATTAATTCATCTCCGCTAGCATCATCCAAACCTTCTTCTCCCTCACCAACTCCATAAGACTCATCATCATCATCACTATCATGATTCTCATCACCATCGGCTACCGTGTTCTTGTGATCATCTCCGACGCCGTAGGTTGGTTGTGTGAGAACTATTTCTTCTTCTACTGAAGGACCATTCTCTATGCGATCGTCGAGCGATGGGCATGCTTCAATGTTCTCAATTCCTATGCCATACTCCTTGATTATCACCAAATCCAAAGATCGCACTTCGGAGGCCAACACAACTACCTTGTAATCATTCCATTCGGACTCGCTAGTAATTTTGAGCAACCTCTTGATGCGTGGACCTTGAGACGACCCAACATCTATGACCCTTTGAAACTGAACATGCACGTCTCCTTCGGACCAACCTAGCCTTACTTTCACTCGGTCCACTAACTGGGTCAAAGAGGGTGACTCGGAAAAAATCAACACATCCTCAAACATGTCCTCAAATTTCACACTATCATCTCTTGTCCTAACAACACGTCCTCCGTGATGCAACCTCACTAATTTGTCCATCTACAGCCATCACACAACAAATATTGTCACATATCAAGCAAATAGCATTCAATCAGAGCCAAACTAATAACAAATCTAACATAAGTAATACGCAAATCAATAAATCAATTAACTAAATTTACCACTAGGTATTAATTAATACACTGATGCCTAGTACAATTATAGCATACACCAAATAATCAACAATAGTAATTTGTACACCAATCAACATGAAACCCTAATGCCAATTTAACAACTCTTAGGCAAACTAACCAATATTTAACAAGAACAACCTAAAAACAGACCTCAAATGACCTACCAAATCAAACTAAGTCATACATTACACAAATACATCTACAAAAATACCATAGCAACATACCCCCAGGGTTCCACAATTTTAGAGACAATGCAAGTAAATCTATGCGGACAGATTGGAAGAGGGGAAGGAGCATTACCTCGGGGAACCATCGGCAGGCAAGATTCGGCCGCCTAGAGGAGCATTTGGGAGTTAGGGTTTGTTGCGGGGCAGATGGGAGAGAGAGAGACAGCAAGCCACGGCTAAAAGAGAAGAAGAATGAAGGGAGCGAGGAAGAAGGGTGCCGCGGTGCGGCCTTATGTGCCTAGACCTCGGCGTTGAATCGGGCCGCGCCGAGGTATGGGGTTCGGCGTTAACTGAACCCATGCCGAGCTCTGCGGGCCCTAGTGAGGGGGCCGTGGTGCGGCCTTATGTGCCTAGACCATGGCGTTGAATCGGGCCGCGCCGAGGTATGGGGTTCGGCATTAACTAAGCCCACGCCGAGCTTTGCGAGCCCTAGTACCACGGTAAATAATACAACCAGAGTCAGCGCTGACGTGGCAGTACCTCGGCGTCAATTGACATTGCGCCGAGGCATAGACCACGGCGTTGTGTTCTAACACGCCGAGTGTTTGGTCTATTTCCAGAAAATGTTTCGCCAGGGGGTTATTTGTAAAAAATGTTTTCAAATAGGACCAAAATACATAAATTTCACGGTGTTCTTCGTTGAGTTTGGAGTGGCGGCTTCAAGAGGAGACCGGAGACTGAGATGGTGAGACGGGTGGTGCGACCGTGTGTTTGTGCAATTTTTTAGAGTGCGGCCCAGGAAAAACGAACAAGAACTCGCACTAAACACAACAGAAGAGAAACGGGAAAAGAAAACAAGAATGGAAAAAAGAAAACACACACCAAAAAAAGGAACCAAAAGACTGAATACAACAGAATGAGTTAGAGCAGCATGCATCCAACATGGTATAGAGTTCGACAGAAAGACAAATGTAAACATATGATGCAATTTCAAACATTATTCAGAGTCCGGTCTCAAGACAAATTGAAATACACATACGATCATTGGATAAATATCAAAGCATCCCGTGCTTATAAATACAACTTAGAGCAGGACACGTTTGTTGGATAAATTTTCGAGCTACAAATCATTTACATAACCGCACAAGTTATATCTCCCGTTGCAACACACGGACATGTTTGCTAGTTATTAGTATAATTCACAAAAAAAACTTCAATCGAATTATCCATCTGAACATCACAAGGAAACAGCCGATTTCATTTCAAATTGTGGAATGTTCGTGTTCTAAAAAAATACATTCTAAGACGTCATAGATAAACTTTGGAGTTTTAACCGACTGATATATTATATTTTCACCATTTCAAATTATAAGATGTTTTGTCTTTTCTAGATATATAGTTTTTGCTATGCATTTAGATATACATTATATTTAGATACATGATAAAAAAAATATATTTAGAAAAATCAAATATCTTATAATTTAAAATGGAGAGAGTATATGGTAGCGGGAGCTCGCATGATTGTATTTGTGATCGAAATTATTATATAAGATACAAAAGCATCAAAATTTACTAGGAAAGAAAATATATTTGAAGATGCATCGTTTCATATGGTTAGATAAATAAATAAAATATCTGGACTTTCAATAAAGAATATAAAATCAACTATTTAATTTAATTTAATATATGATATAAAGATAGGAAAAGAGATAAGGCAGTTGCGTAGGACTTTTGTACAAGGGTGTGTAAACTAATGGACAAACAGGAACACGTCATGTGCCCATGGTTTAAAAAAGCATTTTTGGCAGTTGGGGAACAATAACACGCCAATCGACATCATTTCCTTTGGCACATAATGTAATATTATTATTTTTTGAGAATTTAAATGTAATATTATTATATGTATATGATATAATAATACCATCATAACCAAGCTTAAGATAATAATAATAATAATAATAATAATAATAATAATAATAATAATAATAATAATAATAATAATAATAATAACCAAGTGCCTTTGCATTATATATGTATATATATCTTCTAGTAGACAAGTAAATAACATATGATCGACGATGAATACGTCGATATTAGATAGGAAAATTAAATGATACTTGACTATGTGATTATTGTCATGCAAACTGATTATGTATGGCTAAAATCATCTTAAATCGATGCCTTCGAGTGTAAACTACATCGATGTTATCTTTTATTTATATATATAGGGGGAGAGAAAGCTTAGCCAAGAAGAGATGAGGATTTATGATAGATAGGACAGTAAATTAATCCTAACCTTCTTGATCACCATGATTTACATACACATGTGAGGTGGCACTAAAGTAGTTACCTAATGTTACAATATTTTTCTTGATTTATAGAAATTCATTTACTAAAGTAGTCATCAGATAAGAAATGGGTTAGTGGTGGGCAAGAGGCTCTCCTCCACCAAAGAAATTTCACATAAATAATACTCCCTCCGTCCCTAAATAAATTAATTTCTAGAATCCGTGCTAGTCAAACGTTTTTAAGTTTGACTGATTTTATAGAAAAAGTAACAACACCTATATCATAAAATGAGCACCTTATAGAAAAAGTAACAATATCTATATTATATGGTAAATCTAATGATACTAATTTGATATCGTAAGTCTTAACCTTTTTTCAATAAATTCGGTCAAAGTTTAAAAATTTTGACTTAAGACAACTCTAGGAATCTATTTATCCAGGGACAGAGAGAGTACGTAGTTTTTTAGTTTAGAAAAAGTCATACTTTTGCTTTCCACACACATATATGCCCTCTACATACATTTATTAATAGAATGCTGTTTTGCAGAAACACCCTTGTTTTTGTGCAATTTTAAGTCGTTGGAGACACCAGCTTCACTTTTAAGAGGACCGAATCAATGATAATGGAATTGTGGCCCATATATTTGTTACTGCATAACAACGTATTAAGTATTTCAACGAATAATACATATAAATTAAAAATCTGATAGATAAATTTGCTATGGATGTGAAATATTTTGTACTATGTACTCGCATTACTTGAATTATTTTTATAAAAATACTATTCTTTCTCAGAACATATATAATATATTTAGCATAGATGTATATCGCCATTAAAAAATATATACTCCTAGTTTTGTTTAAAAAAACTAAAAAAAATACTCCAACAGTAAGAAAGTGTTGACCAGCGCGAATCGCAGAGCATCAATGGGCGGTGGAATAGAAGATAAGCTGGGCGGCCGCATGCATGCAGTTGCGAAGATGGGTTAGCATGCCGACTTTCCAGGGAGGTGAGGGAAGATCCGTCTTCTCCGGCCGCTCCACCCAATTCGTCGATCGTCCTCCCCGCCTCCCTCCTCGCGCTCCCGAGATCTGAACATGAGCGACGCGACCACGGCCCCCACCGCCGACGCTTCTGCCGCGCACAAGCAGACGCCGTCCGCCGCCGCGTCGCTGGAGACGACGATGGCAAGCATCCGACGGGGCGGCGGCAGCTCCGTGTCCGTGGCCGCCACCATCAGCCAGGCGTCGCAGCAGCAGCAGCAGCCGCGGCTGGACGACGACCAGCTGGCGGAGCTGCGGGAGATCTTCCGGTCCTTCGACCGCAACGCCGACGGCAGCCTGACGCAGCTGGAGCTGGGCTCCCTGCTCCGGTCCCTGGGCCTGACGCCCAGCGCCGACCAGCTCGACGCGCTCATCACCCGCGCCGACACCAACTCCAACGGCCTCGTAGAGTTCTCCGAGTTCGTCGCGCTCGTCGCCCCCGACCTCCTCGCCGACCGGTCCCCGTACTCCGAGGACCAGCTCCGCAAGCTCTTCGCCATCTTCGACCGCGACGGGAATGGGTTCATCACCGCCGCCGAGCTCGCGCACTCCATGGCCAGGCTCGGCCACGCGCTCACCGTCAAGGAGCTCACGGGAATGATCAAGGAGGCGGACACCGACGGCGACGGCCGCATCAACTTCCAGGAGTTCTCGCGCGCCATCACCGCCGCCGCATTTGACAACATCTTCTCCTGACCGACCGACCGACCGACAGCCTTATCGACAGCCGCAATGGATGTGTGTTTGTCGATCGTCGATTCGGTTTTCTTGGTCGTCATTCCCAGTTTTCACTTTGTTCGTCTTCTTTTTGTGGGGGAGATTAATTTAGGAAGCTATAGATGAGGTGAGGCGTTCTTGTGAATAATAACAGATCAAACAAAAAAAAAGGAATCGATTTAGGGACAAATTACATGCATGGTTGATTGTGTTCGTCTTTTTTCCACCACGGACAAATCGAATTTCATTACTTTACTTTTTATAAGCAACGAATATAGAATAGGCGAGAATACCATAACGGAAATGCTGCCGTACGCCAGCGTTGGTGGGCCTCGACCCAAACGGCCCAACATGGTTATTCCATTCGCACGGTCGCTCGCGTTGCTCTAGAGCATTTCTGAATAAAAAAAACTTCGCTCACTTTTCTCTCGAATCGCTGCCACGATCACACCCATTCTCGATTAGCCGACGCTCTCCACAGCGACCGCGCTGCCTCGCCGCACCGCGCGCCCTCTCGACCGCACCCGGCCGGCCGCCATCATCCTCCCCACCATGCCCAAGCGTCGCCGCCCACCTCGCTCGTCGCAGCCATGGCGTGCAAAGTGCCATGGCGCTAGCAGGAGGAGGTCACCGGCCGTTGCTCTCGGCATCCCCTTAAACCCGAGTTTCCTATCTACGGTAGCCCCCCACCAGGTAGGTCATGGCCGCCGGCAATGCCGTGTTTCAAGTGTTTCAAGCGTTCCGACTTATGTTTCAAGTATATCTTGGATGTTTCTATATGTTGCAATGACAATATACGCATGTTTCAAGCATATGTTCAAAACATTTTAGTTGTTTCATACGTATGTTTCAAGTATTTTTATCTGGATGTTGCATATGTTGCTATGGCTGCACACACATATTTCAAGTGTTTGTTTTCATGTGTTTTAGATATTTCAAACTTATATTGCAACAGTGGATCTGGATGTTGCATATGTTGCTATGGCTATACACGCATGTTTCAAGAGCATGTTTCATGTTTCATCTGTTTCGGTTTTATCTTGCAAATGTTTCATGATTATGTTTCAAAAGTAGATCAGGGTGTTCCACATATTACAATGTGTGCTAGTGGCTGGCGGACAGGGGCCTGGTGCTGCCACTGAGGCGTCGCCGTGGTTCACGTGCGGGCGTGGATGGGCACGGCAAGCCTGGTGCTGCTGCCAAGGCGCCACCGTGGTTCACGTGTGGGCGCGGGGGCGCGGTTCTAGATGCTAGCGCGCAATGCGAGCGGTCGCGAGAGGCAATGCGGGCAGGCGTCGAAGGGAGTTGCGTGCGTCGGACGTGGGTGTGGGAGCTGCATCCGGACATGCTGCTGGGGCCGGACGTGCGGGCACTAGTGTCTCCCGTACCAGAAGTGCTCCGCTACACTTCTTGCCGCTACAACAGTTGTAGCCACGAGAAATGGAGCCTAACAGAGCTACTATTTATGTACTTGTGCAAAATTAAATATTTACAACCAACGATTAATTACTTTCATTGGAATTTCCATTACATATGTTTTGGTAATACATTTATTTGAACCGATCGATGTCAATATATGTTCTTTAACACCGTGGCTAAAGTTAAAGAAGATTGACTTAGTACAAAGTCAAAATGACATAATTTGAAACCCATAGCGTAATAATTTTGTTTGCTCGTTCCAAATTTCATCAAAAACTACCTTAACAAAAACAAATAAATTTACCTCAACTATTGCTAACAATCATGTTTCTACTTTGCTACCTACTTCCTTGGTTCATCTTTTGAAACTCATGGTTTCTTGGGCACTACTGTCTCCAATTGTTCATGCACGAAACAAGGCCTGAACAAATATCAGGAGGGAAAAAACTACTCCGTACTTCTTTTAGCCATGAGACGACAAAGAGTCATCACATCCAGATCTTCCAAGAGGCAGAAGAGTATAGAGCCAGTTTCCAACACCAACATATGCCAAATGCAGCCAGACTTGGACTAGTACTGCTGATTTTTTTTTTTTGAGAATTACACAACGCAGACGCCGCAAATCCTAACCTTATAAGCACATCCGAAGAAATGAGCCGGAATATCTTGAGATTTTTTTGAGAATTACACAGTACAACGTAGATACCGCAAACCCTACCCTTAAAGAACTGAGCTGGTAGATCTTAAGATTCACGAAGTCACCACAGGTGCATCGCTGTCGACGGATACCTCGTCTACCACCGAAAGTATAGCGCCGTTAAATCCTAAAATAAATCTAGAAAAATGCAACCACCCATACCAAGTCAAGAACTTAAACTCGGATAGACAGGTTCCACCGTAACAAGTCCAACCAACACATCTATGATCAGTTTGCGTCTAGTACTGCTGATGGACAGCATTTGCATTGTCTTGTCAGCCCGCGGATGAATACGCGCACGTGGTCCATCTTCTCTCCTCCGGACCCCCACGTATGCTAGTTTAGAAGTCCACTGAAGCCCAGCCCAACGAAACAAGGGTTTCGACGGCCTGCTTTAGAACACCGGAGCCCAAGATGAAGACATTTGGACTCGTTTTAATTTGCTTCAATTCTGAGGCCCTCTGCACCTCTCACCCTATATTAGTGGCCTAGTTCCAACTTCCGACCCAAAGGACTCCATTCGAATTCCATCCGAACATCACAAGGACAAACAACGCGATTTCATTTCGAATTGTGGAATTTCCGTGTTCTAAAACTACATTCTAAGACGTCCTAGTGGATAGAACTTTGGAGTTTTAACCGCTAATATATTATACTTCCTCCATTCCGAATTATGGATCTATTCGCTTGAGTTTATCAGCCAGAATCAGCCAGCCTAAAAATGGTGTTTTTCTCTCACAACAAATCAGCCGTACAAATCAGCCGGAGCCACAATAAGTCCTGCCGAACAGAGCCGAGAATAGAAGGAGTATACAGGAGATAGGCGGCTTGCATGATTTTTTTTGACCAAAATTAGTAGCACTACCTCAAGTTCTGGGTTCAGCTCCACATGGAAGCGAATTTAAACAGACCTGCTTGTGCATACGAGTTGGTAGCTCGTGGCGCGTTGTTAAAAAATCCTCTCGCTGGCAAAAGCCATGGTTTGGGGGATTTTCTCGGGCGGTATGGTTGAGGCCTTCTACCTTAATTACAATGCCGGAGAGGAGGTAATACCTCAACTAGACCAAATTTCTTTTGACCGAAACTATTATATAAGATTCAAAACCATCAAAGTTTACTAGGAAAGAAAAATATATTTGAAGATGCATCGTTCCATAAGGATAGACAGATAAATAAATAAAATATCTGCACTTTCAGTAAAGAACATAAAATGAACTATTTAATTTATTTTAATATATGATATAAAAAATTGGAAAAGAGATAAGGCCGTTGGGTAGAACTTATCTGTACAAGGGTGTGTAAACTAATGGACAAACAGCAACACGTCATGTGCCCATGGTTTTAAAAAAGCATTTTTGGCAGCGAGGGAGCAATAACACGCCAATCGACATCATTTCCTTTGGCACATAATGATACTGTTACCACGTCACACTGAGTCACTGACTAAACCACCTAGATCACCCAAATCCATAATTCGCATAAAATAAGATACTATAATCTTGTCCCATTGATCATATCAAATCGGTCAAAATTTGTCCCCCACTAAAGAAATAATTCGGTCAAATTACGCCTCAATAAATAAAACGTATTTTATAAAGATGCTCTAAGATATATAATTCGGCTGCAAGAAATATGGGCCCGGATGCATGTGAACACTTTGGAAATCGTAATTAACTAGTAAGTGCTTCTACACCCTTCCCCAATATACATAAGGACTTTAAAATATATAATGCATTTTTTATTTATTTATTATGAAAAAATCTCAAGATGGTACACATATGCTTTGGTTGAAAACATAGTGATTATTATCTGTTTTGCCCTGATTATTGTTGCTACATTTCTTTCCTTAGCTGAGAGTTGAGACATATTCTCATATAGGTCCAGGTGTTATGTATTTTTCACTGCAATAATGAAATTAAATCCAAGGATCTAAATAGATTGACTTGAGGGTCACTAGTGCACCCATCAAAACGGTTTTGTCGGAAAGCATCTTACATATTTTTCTTTGAAAGAAAAGCATCTAATAAATTTGTGTAAGGACTAGTTGATAGTGTGAACCCATGGTTAAAAATGAAAGTGAACTAGATGTTGAGAAAAACTGGTAGCTCCTTTTTCTTTACTAACCAAAAGATTCAACTTTTCTTTGTGGGAATGAACCAAACTATTAATTATTTATAAAAAAAACTATTGAGCCGATGTGCTAATTGCAAGATGGTCATCGGTTAGGATAATCTAATCAATGCCACTTGCGCGAAAGGTGGCTTGGCATGTACTGACTTTTCTTGTGCAATGTTGATTTCTATATTTATTATTTGAAGGTGTTATCATCGATCCGAGATTAACATAATGATAATACCATCATAACCAACTGCCTCTGTATTATATATGTATATATATCTTCTAGTAGCCAAGTAAATAACATCATCGATGATGAATACGTCGATATTGGATAGGGAAATTAAATGATATTTTAATTACCATGTGATTATTGTCATGCGAGACGAATATTTATGGCTAAAGTCATCTTAAATCGGTGTCCTTTGAGTGTACACTACGTCGATGTTATCTTTTGTATAGATCACTGATCTAAAGTGGGAACCCCAATATAAATACTAAAATATAGAGTGGAAAAGTTAAGGCAACGCACTTAGTCTAGATGAGATAAGGATTTATGATAGGTAGGACAATTAATTAATCCTAAGCCTCTTGATCACCATGATTTACATACACATGTGAGGTGGTACTAAAGTAGTTACTTAATATTACAATATTTTTCTTGATTTATTTATAGAAATTCATTTGCTAAAGTAGTCGTCAGATAAGAAGTAGATTAGTGGTGGGCAAGAGGCTCTCCTCCACCAAA